ATCAACTACTACACAGTCCAAGAAAATTTGATTACTTTGAGGTTTTAATTTACTGTTTTACAGCAAAGTTGGGGTGCGCACTTAGTGAATAATAAATCACCAGAGTGAATTAGCTTTTTGGGACAGATGTTTGGTTTTGGTGATGATGGACAACTGATGAAGGCTGCGGTCAGTGAGAATGGAGGGAGAACTTCTGTTTTCTCATCTGCAGAAGTAGTCTTCCTGCTGAAGAATTGCAGTGGCTGGGGTTGACTCTTTGCTGCTTTATCGCCTGTAAAGGTTTAAAGGTTTTATCTGTCTACTGAAAATAATTACAGAAATGTTCTTTTGTTGGATTTAGTGGAGAATTTTATTCCCTTACAATACTGAGGGATGTTATTTTCTCTCATGTTTAGGCATTGTAATGGAAACAAGTTTTGAGCAGAAGATCTAAGTGTTCTTTTCTTTGTTTATGCTGGTTTTTAGAGGCTTGTTCTTTCATAAGTTTGTCAATATAGAAGCTTTTAGGATGAAAGATACGGAAAAACTTTTGAAAACTTCATTTTTCCACTGCAACCTCTGTTTTAGAGGTTGCAGTGGAAACCATAATTTTCTTAATAGCGCATTACTAAGTTATTTTCTTTTTTGAGGAAAAAAAAAATATTCTGCCCAAGTAAAACTGCTTTTTTTTTTTTTTTTAAATGGGCTTGTATTTTGCTTTCCTTAAGAAAACACCCACTTTTGACACTTAACAGATACAAACCTTCCCAGATGGTACCTAAAATTGTCTGGTTTTCAGCTTTCTCAATTCGATAATTATTTCATTTTTGTGTTTAGCTCTGAAGAACAGCATTAATATTAAACTGTCTTCATTAAATCACACTTAACAATATAAAAATAGACAAAGACTCTTTTTCTGTAGCTTCTCAAGTACATTTAAAATATTGGCATTTAAGAGTGAATGTTTCCAAAATAGGTAAGGAAGAAGATTACACCGCATCACTAATTAATTACCAGATGTCTTTCAGTCCCTTTTGAATTTCTGGAGGCATCAGTTCTGAGAAATATTTTTCATGTTGCTTTCTGCCCCCCCCCCCCCCCCCC